GCGTTCTAGAGGCTCTCGTCGCCGCGGCTGGCCGCAGGCCGAAAACTTTCCAGGATTCACCCCGAAGGGTCAAGGGACCGATCTTGCGCCGCGACAACGACGACGACGACGATTCTCGAGGTTTTCAGCGGTGTTCGGGCTTTGAGGTGCGTTCCAGCGGCCACGCCTCGTCAATGTCCCTCCTGGTCCGCCAGGAATGTTCTGCGAGGGCGAGGTGGGAAACGGGATAGACGGAAGGGGGAGGGGCGAGGAAGAGGGAAAAGGAGGAGGGGTGAGAGGCGAGGAGGGAGGAGGGGCAAGATGGAGGGGGGAGGGGCAAGGAGGGAGAAGGAGGGGCGAGGTTGGGGGAGGGGCGGGCGAGAAGGAGGAGGAGGAGGAGGAGGAGGAGGAGGAGGAGGAGGGGAAGGAGAAGGAGGTGGGAGGGGAGGAGGGCCGAGGAGGAGGGAGGAAGAGGGGAAGGGAAGGAGGGAGGAGGAGGAGGCCTCTTGGCGGGGGGCCCTCGGCGGTGGGATGTAACCACCGTCGGGGGGTGGGTGGTGGGGTGGGGTGGGTGGGTGGGGTGGGTGGTGGGGGGGGGGGGTGGGGGGGGGAAGGGCAAAAGGCTCATCTGATAGGGGCCGCCCAGCACGTGTCCTGCCTTTCTCGGAGGCCCTTATTGGACCCTCTCACCCGCAGGAGGGAGGAGGAGGAGGTGGAGGAGAAGGAGGAGGAGGAGGAGGAGCAGGGAGGGGGGCATTGGGGGAGGGGGGGAGGGGGGGAGGCAGGGGAGGGGAGGAGGGAGGGGGAGTAGTGTCGGGAGGGAAGGGGTGATGAGTGCACAGGAGGGAGGAGGGAGGGGGGACAGAGGAGGAAGGATGATGGATGAGGAACAATGAGGCGCTAGAGATGGAAGGGGAGGGAGGGAGGAGGAGGAGCAGGAGGAGGAGTTGGAGGAAGGCTGAGGGTACGTATCCTCTGGGTGAAGCCCTCGCGGGAGGTGTCACCGTACGCACGGAGTGTACGGTTTGGAAGGCGAACGTAGGTGGCGTTGGCGTCTGAGTTCAAACAGGTTCGGAGTGTTGCAGGCGGGGGAGAGCGGAAGCGAGAAAGGAGTAGGGTAGCGTGGGGAGGGCCTTGGTAGGAGGAAGGCAAGAGGGCTGGATAACATTTAGGAGTTGGTTAGGAGTACGTAGGGTTGGGGGCCCTTTGGGTGGAGGGTTGGGAACATGGTAGGGAGGGTAGGGCAAGGTAACACGAGGGTAAGAGTCTACACAGGGCAGGAGTGATTAGGTATGGTGGGGTAGCAGCACAGTAGGGTCTGAACAGGGCAGGGGTAAGGTCGGTAGGGTGGGGTGGATGTGGAATGGAGTGAAATGGAATGGACGTCACCACGATGTGGTCCTGATGTAACCACCTCGCCGCCCGAGTTGCCTACTAGCGGTGAGTCACAGCGTCAGGCCATAGGCTTGGGCAATCCGGCAATTATAGTCTCGACGAGTGTCTCACGCCAGTTGGGTATAAGGCAATATTCCTTTAATAGTTCATTCAGCATCTCACGGCTAAAGTACACGCAACGTCGTCACAGGCATGAGCTACGGTGCTCATGATGAATCATGCGATAAGAATCGTGCACCCGCCCGCCCCCCATAACTATGTAAATGCCGACCCTTGGGACAATGGAGCACATGATCATGCCCAGGAGTTATACAGGTTAAAGCAGGGGAAGTCCCACCACGTGGGGAGAGTAGCGGCTGTGGTAGACCCCCATACAAGCTAAACAAGTCTTGCCTCCTTCGCCCAGCGTATGAGATCAGCGAAGCACTGAACGAGAGGCGGAGGTTGGGGGAGGGGAGGAGGACGAGGAGAGGAGGAGGGTCTCGCCTGTGTCGAGCTCGCGGACGGGGATGTCGGGTCGGCAGCGGCCTGATTGAGCACCTGCAGGATCGCGTGGAGAACGACGCCGGACGAACAACGCATCTTTGTCTTTTTGCCACACATGGGAGCGATCTGTAAGGGGGATCATTGCCCTAAGGGCCGCTGCACTTGCCGACTCTTCTGTACACGAATTCCCCAGAATGAGAAATGTTGGAGCCGTCTTCCGACAATTATCATCGGATTCCAAACGACACCCAATGATGAACACCACGAATTGTTACGTGTCACGGCGTGTGTTTCGAAGTTGAGCGCTGAGGGTCACGTTGGGTGAACGGCGCAGAGTTGGAGCTCAATCGAGCGACACACGAACCGCCCTCACTGCGCGGAGATGCGCACGCAAGCTGCTTGCGCACGGTCTCACAGAGGAGGAGGAGGAGGAGGAGGAGGAGGAGGAGGAGGAGGAGGAGGAAGGGGAGGGAGAGGAGGAGGAGGAGAAGGAGGAGGAGGAAGAGAAGGAGGCTAGAGTTGTGGGCAGCCGCGCAGGCGGCTTGCGTAATAGCCTGCGTGAGGTTGTTGTACCATCCAGCGCGCGCGAGAGATTCGACATCTATCCAAAGCGCAGCAGCTGGGAGCTGCGTGGTCGTCGTTTGCTTATTCATTGTTTTGCCGATCGGCGCGGGCCCTCGTACCCCCCCTCCTCCCCCCCCCATGGAGTAGATCTTGGCTGTTTTTGGCGCCTGTTTCAATCAGGTGGAGTAAGCACGGGGGCCCGCCTCCCCATAGGATCCCCCATGGGAGCACTGTTCCAAACAGTCGCCCTAAGCAGAGGTCCCGAGCTAGACCCCCCCTTCCGCCCAATGTCAAAGCGCCGAATAAGAAAACACTCACATGGGCCCACTGCTGTTGGGTAGCCCCCTCCCTCGTCACCTCGACGCGCAGCTCCCGTGCCCTCCCGGGCGTGACACGCAGAGCGCGTCGCGCACGCACATGTGCCCCGCACCGCCGCCGTGCGCGCAACACGCACCGACTGCTGACGCACTACCTACGCATGCCATGCTGTGTGCGTCGTGCCGCGGGTGCGGTGCGCACCCCAGGCATGCGACGTCGTGAAGCATGCGAATTTGTGGTCGTGTTCTCATTCATTTTTCTGCCGATCGGCTCGGGCCTTCGGGCCCCCACCCTCTCCCCCCCCTGGAGTGGATCTTGGCTGCTTTTGGCGCCCGTTTCGAGCAGGAGGAGTCCCTCCCCCATAGGACGCACTGTTGCAAACAGTCGCACTCAGCAGAGGTCTGGAGCCAGACCCCCCCCTCCCCCCCTTGTCGCTCAATGTCGAAACGTCGAATAAGAAAACGCTCACTCTGGGCATCTGGAAGAATAAAGAACGTGTTGGGCCCCGGTGCAATCCAAACGCAGGGAGCACATGTCCCCGGGAGGGTGTCGAGAGACCCTGGGCCCTGTCGTGAATCACTTGCGATATCGTGCGCGGCGCGCGATTGCAGTGCCGGGGCTTTGCCGAAGTGCTGCTCACGCTGGCGTGCCGTCGGTGGGTCTAAGTGGGTTCCCCGCTCGCCCGACCCCACGGTTTCAGGATGTGGCCCGTGGGGTCCTTCCCTCACCGCCGCCCCTTCCGGGGTCCATCCCTCGAGTCCTGCTTCCTCGGGGCCTCGGGCAGCTGAGGGCAGTGACACACGCAGCCAGTGCCGTGGGCTCGGGACTACTACCTTGGTTTCGGAAGGCTCTCGATGTTCCTGAGGTCATCCCTCAGCGTTTTCCCCAGGCATACATCCGAAGTCCAGACACAGCTGGGCCCAGACAGGGACTCTGCTGAAAGGCTCCTTGCGGCAAGAGACGGTTTTTGTCAGGGTCTGGCGATAACCTGGGTTATCGAGCCAGCCCGCCTCTCCCACCCCGCCCCGGATAACCTGATCCTGTCGATTGCGCGGTTCCGCAGGGGGCAGTATTGCTGCGCGCGGGCATACGTGGGGCTGCCCAAAGCGAAAAGGTTAGGTTATCGGCCAGACCTCCCTCCCGACGGATAACCCCTCCGAACATTTATAACGGTCTCCAAGTTTCTTGCTGTGCCTCGCACACACCTCAGCCGGTCGCTTTGCGACCGTCTGGGGCAGCGAAGGGGGGATATATTCAGGGGGAGAGCACAGAGCTGGAATCGGTGATACATCGCTAACAGATCGGCGATAGGCCTATGATAGCGAATCCGCACGCTACTGGGCTGAGGAGTGGGCTATCAGGCTCCCAGTCGGCGATGTATGATCCCGGGTCGAGGGTTCACAGCCCCCCCCCTAGGTGGGATGGGTCCAAATGTTCCACAGCCCCCCCTAAAATGGGATGAGGGGGGAAGGCGAAGACGACGACAACGACCACGGCCACGACCACGACGACGCCGACGCCGACGACGACGACGAAGACGACGCCAACGACAACGTCCACCCTCTACGCCAGTGCCCATCCAGCGAGGAGGGGCTCGATCCCACAATGCATCGGGGGGGTCAACCCTGGATCATATCGCCGATTCACGCTCGCCCTTTCCCCTCCTGAGCCTGTCCCTTAGGTGTTTGATCATGGACCCCTTGTTGACCGTAACCATTTGGCTCTCGAGCCGAAGACCGTTGGAAACCGCCGGGACCCGCCGAAGACCGTGAGAAGACCGCCGAAGACGAGCCGAAGACTGGCCGAAGACCGGCCGAAGATTGGCCGAAGACCGCCGAAGACTGCAGACGACTGCCTATGGAGCGACGGGGGTGCCGTGACCGCCGCCGCCGTGGCGGCCGCGGCAGCGGAAGCTCCGCGCCAGCGCGTCTTGCTGGAGGACGGCGGTGCTTCCCGCCCCGAAGCGGCGGCACAGGGCAGGTTCATGGTCGGACACATAAGATCCCGCTTTGACCGTTGTTCAGGGTGGGGAGAGCAAACAAGACCCTGACAACTGGCGGTCACTAGACGGCCCTCTGGGCGTCTACTGAACAGCCCTGCCTTGCTCGATTCCTTCCCTGGGTGCGTTTACTGAACGGCTTCGCTTGTCGGGGTGCCCAGTGTGGGGGGGGGGCTACTCTGCCCTCCACGTTGCCCCTCAGCCCAGGCGCCTCGTCTCTCGCCCGCCGGCTCCCACGGGCCGGGACCTCCGATCACGCAGGCATGTGCTGCAGGGCCCAAGCCCCTTGCGCGGGCGCCCCCTCGGCCAGCCGGGCGGGCCCCCAGCATGCCCGGCCCAGACCCCGCGGTCTGGTGGCCGCCCCGTGATCGGCGATTGCAGTGGTCTAGGCCTCCCAGATGGGGCCCGAGTGGATGGGGTCGGTGGGTCGCGCCGCATCGCCGCTGCATCGCCGATGCGGCTCGGTGTGGGGCCCGAGTTCCTCCACGCCGGCGTCGCCGATGTATCTCCGATGCATCGCCGATGCATCGCCGATGCATCGCCGATGCACTGGCGATACGGCGCGATCGTCCGACCACATCTACTCGGACCCCATCTGCGAGGCCTCTAAGCGGGTGTGGTTACGCCAGAGTTGGAGCTGGCTGTGGGTCTGAGATGGCCAAGCGCGGGTTCCAGCGAGCAGAAAGGGAGGGCAGCTTTGAGGTTCTAGGACCGTTTGGGTGGTTTGCATTTTTCGGCATCTGGGGGCCAGCTAGCTTCGGGCCCCAGGACCATGAGAAGCGGATCTTGAACAACTGCACCAGATGGATCCCAGGATGGGTCCAGGAATCGATTTTGACATGACACAGGTGCTCTGCGGTCCCAACCAGTTTAGACCCCCCGGCCGCCTCCAAAATGGGTCGTTGCAACGGGCTGTGGATTGCGATCGGCGCCCGTTGGGCTTAGGGGTCACCGCGTCGCGCCATTTGATGCACCCTCGCCGGGGCGCGGCAGAAGTTTCTGTCGAGGTCCTCGCCCGCCCCCCAGGCGCGGGTTGCAAACCACACCCTCTTCAAACCACTTCCTTCGGAGTCGCCGACTTGAGCCCTCGGGTCCGGGCGTCGTGAAGAACCCAGGGGCCGCCAGGATCTTATTTGAAGAACGTGGATGTTGTTCTTGCTTGCTATTCGTAAAACATGCTTGCTTGGAAAGATTTGTCGTATTCGAGTGCTTCCATGCTTTGTAGCCATGGAGTGAGGCACGCGACGCCGTTCGACGTTCAATGCAAGGTTGTCGAGAGTTCTTCGGGGATCACCTGGTGACCCGAGCTGTCTCGAGCTGGCGGCCAAGAAGGCATGTGCTCGAACCGTGCAACTAACTGCCGAGCCAGCTTTCCTGGCCGCTAATTAGCTTGAGCCAGTTGGGATCGCCCGTTGACCCCAATCGAATCCGGACGAATCGAAATCCTCGCATTGAATGTCGAACGCCGTCGTGTGCACCAACCGATAGAAGCCGATTGAAGATGCTCAAACACATGATAACTCAATCCAAGTAGGGGTTCGTCCAGCGATCGGATCCTCGGCTCCGCGCCGAATCTCGAACTGACGGGAGCGACGGGTAGGAGGGGTGGCGGAAAGGAGGGGGCATTGGGGAAACGATTTTGGAAGAGGAAGAGGGGGCGGCACTTTTCGCAGGAGAAGGGGATGAGGATTGCGCATGTAATGGCATTAAAGCGAAGGCGAACAACCGTGTCGCGTGAGGTATCCACCCGCGGCTCGCTCGCGAAGCGCGACGTTTTGCGGAGTCTTCGCCTGAGGGGACGAGGAATCTAACGACCTCGATCCGAAACGCATTTGATTTGGACATTTTGCCCCTGCGCCATCACAATGCGACCACCACGGACCCCCCACTCCTCATCACCCTTGTTCCACTTTCCGCCCCCTCGGCCGTCTTCCGATTGCCCCCCAGGGCAAGGAAGCGCCACCCTGGCGCCGAAAGTGGTGGACAACCTCTGGGCGCGTCGCAAAGGGGCGGGCAATGAGCCCCACCCCGGGCGGTTCCCCCAGGATCCGCCCCGCGGTTCCCCCAGTTGCGTCCCCTGTGGTCACCCAGCTTAGCTTAGCTAAGCTTAGCTTGGCTTAGTTTAGCTTAGCTTAGATTATCTCATATTGGCTTAGCTTAGCTTAACTTTGCCTAGCCTAGCCTAGCTTAGCTTAGCTTAGCTTAGCTTGGCATAGCATATCATAGCCTAGCCTAGCTTAGCTTAGCTTAGCTTAGCTTAGCATATTTTAGCTTATATTCGCTTAGCTTAGCTTAGTGCAGCATAGCGCAGCGCAGCACTATCACAGCATAGCATAGCATAGCCAAGCATAGCATATCATGACATAGCATAGCATATCATAGCCAAGCATATCATATCATAGCATTGCATAGTATAGCATAGCGAAACCTAGCTTAGCATCACACATCATAGCATAGCATTGCTTAGCATAGCACAGCGCAGCATAGCATAGCATAGCATAGCATAGCATATCATAGCATAGCATAGCATAGTATAGCATAGCATAGCATACCCTAGCCTAGGCCAGCATAGCATTGAGCAGCATCGCATAGCATAGCATAGCACAACATAGCAGAGCATAGCATAGCATAGCGCAGCACAGCATCCACTATTGGTGCTGCTAATGTTGCTTTCCCAGAGGCTCCAACTCCTAGGTAGGGTCGCACTGGGATAATGTTCTTCTGTATAGCCGTGCCAGGGGGGTTAACGATGTGGTGTTTGCCCATCCTGGAGATCCAGGCGTTGCCATTGGTTCACGCTGGGCGTTTTCGCCGGGTCTCGGGCCCCGGGGCCTTGACAGATCGATCCGGTTTTGAAAAGTGCAGCAGGGAGATAGGATCAGAGTTCTGGTCGTGCTTTTGAGCGATGCTGCAAGAGGCTGTTCTTCTCTGGACCTGGGCGAGTTTACGTGCATGGAGGGGGAGCGAATGGGTGCGGCGAAGCCCGAAAGGAACAAAACTTTGAGTTCACGCGAGTCACGACTCGCTTCCACGCCTCTTCGGCCCAGCGCTGTTTCGAAATAGGGGCAGGGGGGGGTGGATGCCCTGCAAGCAGCCTTGCTTTTGAGTCTGAAGTCCAACGCTTGTGATATCTCTGTCGCAACGTCGGACCCCAGGGATCCCTGGCTGGCCCCAGCAGCCGGCCCCTGCCACAGGAGTCTCCACGAGGCTCCCCAGGGGGCAAAATTCGTTGACTTCGGGGGGAACTTGGTTTTTGACGAACGAGCAACACACACCCATACCCATAGGGGGGTCGTTGGAAGGAGGACTGGCTATGGGTATGGGTGCGGGTTGTCGGACCCTGGGGAACGCTCCCGTTCGAGCGGGGACCCCCATCCGACAACACGCACCCATAGCCCTCTCCGACCCCTCTATGGGTATGGGTGTGTGTTGTTGGTTCGTCAGTTTTCTCGCTCTTTCGGCTTCCCAGCGCTCCTAGGCGACTGGGGACGCCTCCAAGGACGCCCCGATGCTGCCCAAGAGGCTCCCAAGAGATCTCCAGAACGCCGCGAGAGAGCTCCAAGACGGCCCCGAGAGAGTTCCAAGACGGCCCCGAAAGCCGGGCCGAACGAAAGGCGGGGACAGGGAAAGGGGGGGGTACGGAATCTGCTGCATGCAGCTGCTGGTTTCGGCCCCGCCGCCGGGCCCATTCCCCGATACATGGGCGCCGCCCGGCGCCGGGAGGCGCCGGGAAAATCAGCCACGTGAGCTGAGTCTCTGCCCTGCCCTTTGCTAACCCCCGCCTGTCGTTCCCCCCGAGAGAGTGCCCCAAGACGGTCGGCAGAGGCCCCCCCCCCCAAGCTTGGCCTTCGATCGCGGGGCGGCCGAGCCCCGACCGCGGGCCCCAGAACGCCGAGCAGGCTGGGCGGCGTCAGGGCTGGTGCCGGCTGGCAACCTCTGCAGGCAGTACCAGTTCGGAACGTGCGGGCCTGCCGGGCGTTGAAATCCATCCCCGAGCGCGGTCCACTGCTCACAAAGTGCTTACAGTGGAGGCCCATGCCAAGAAGCACCCTTCTTGCCTCCAGGGTGCCCTGGGTTTCTCGGGTTTCGATGGTTTTGGGATGGAGAGCGTGACGTTCCCGCACCAAGAATGAGTGGGCGTCCTGGGGTCTCAGGGTTGGGTTTCTTGTGGAAGGTTTCTTGTGGATTGGCCTCCACTGTACTCGCAAACTTCCGAAAAAGAAACAGGTCTTCCTTGTTGCAGCGGATCGTGCGTCTTCCGCGGCGGCTCCGGGCCACTTGCGAGTAATTGGTGGCTTTGCGAGTAGTGGAGCGAGCTTGTCTAGTCCAGGCCTCCCAGATTCGGGGAAACGAAAGAGTCCAGTACGCCGGGTCTCGAGTCTTCCGACATTTTTTTATGAACGGGTCTTGGTTTCTAACGGTCCGATTTTGTGGGGTGTTTGTAGCGGGAGTTCGCGTCAAATTTCAGATTGGGTCTCGTCATTTTCATGATGGCCCCGTCAGGCTAACCGAGTCCCCTGAACCCGAGTCTTACGTCTCCCCGACAGGTGGGGTCCCCGCAGACAGGGTCGGAGGATCGCGTCGCATCGCCGATGCATCGGCGATGCGGCTCGATGTAGAGTAAGATTTTCTCCACGCCGATGCATCGCCGATACATCGGCGATGCAGCACGATCCTCTGACCCCATCTACTCGGACCTCATGGAGGCCTCTGTGAAAGGAAGGGGCGCGCCGTCCTGGGCCGCCATGTCTAGTTAAGGGTTTAACGACTTCTGCCGTCCCTCACTCGATTCGCGCTGGAGCGGCCACGACTTGCTCCAATTCTCCATGGAGATCGCTGGATCTCCCAGGATTCACCTGGACTTACGTCAAATTATCTGCATTTACCATGCTTCATCTGGGAAGATCCCCACAAGTCGATTCGCCAAAAGTCGTCAAGCCCCCCAGACCCCCGACGTCAAGTTTTTGTCAGGACGTCCACCCCCAGAGGTCTCGACCCATTCCCCAGGACCGTTCCCCTGACGGCACCGAGTCCCCGTGAGGAGGGCCCCCCAGAGGCCCAAAAATAACGAAAAACTTCCCGTCGCGATTTTCCTCTTTCTTTTTTTTCGAGGGGGTCTGGGCTTCAGGGACGATCGCGCCCCGGATGGCACGTCTCGCGGCCAGGCGCGCGTGCCCATGTCGGGGGTGGACAGACCTCCTACCCTGACACGTCGATTAAGGAGCTGGCCGTCTTCGGTTCGCGAGAGGGCGTCGCGGCCGTCCCTTTTGCGGGTCCAGGTCCGTCGGCTTCGGTCCCAGGCCGCTTTCTTTAAGGGGAGGTCTACCAAAGGGAGGTCTGTCCACCGCCGACCGTGCGCCAGCGCAGTGACCCACGGCGGGGCGCGCCCGCAGGGGGCTGGGGGGGCCCCGCCGCCCGCCCGCGCCCGCGCCCCTTGCGAGCGCGGGCACCGCGCAGGGCCAGAGCGGGGCGTCGGGGGGGTGCTGAGGTCGGCCACGAGGGGAGGGGGTACGGTGAAGTCGGGCGTGTCCCCCTACAGGGGGATTTTCGACGAAACATAAAACATACCCCAAACATGTCCCAAATGGCCCGTAAAATATGCAAAACATAGTTCCCAGACTATTTTGGGATTAACCTTAAACAGCCGATAATAAACACCCTGGGAGAATAAAGTTCGGCGGTTACGGTGCGATAATGAAAGTATCCACCAGAGGCCAGCATAAAGATGTTAACAGAGGAGCCAAAGCCGAGGATATCTTGAGACATCCTTGGCTTTTTGTCCTCTCTGAGACATCCTCAACAATGGCTTGTCCCGCTTGAGACATCCTCGACAAATCCCTCGTTTCGCTTGAGACTCGAGGGATGAAGAGAAATAGGAGAAGGACGAAAGAAAAACCCAAAGTTCAAAACTTATTAGATTTAATGTGTAAACGCGTCAAATTAAGATTTTCATCTGCTCGTACCTCATCTGTCTAGTGATCCCAGGATAATCAACCACAGCGATAAACAAGTTCAGGGCGCTAGTGGGGAGAAGAAAGATACAAAGAAAGAGAGAGATAGACAGAGAAGAGGAGGAAGAGAAGGAGGATGAGGAGAAGGAAGAGCAGGAGAAGCAGAGGAGGAGAAGAAATATAGAGAGGTCAATAGAAATATATAAAGAGAAGAGGGGATAGAGGAGGAGGAGGAGGAAGAGGAGAAACAGCAAGAGGAGGAGAGGAGAAGGAGATTGCAAAATCCAAAGTTCAAAACTTATTAGATTTAATTTGTAAACGCTTACTGAAACTTAAATTTTCCATCTGCTCGTGTAGGGTAGCTCATCTGCCTCGGTTTCATTGGATAATAAATTACAGCGATAAACAAGTTCAGGGGCCACGGGGAAAGGGAGAGAGAAAGAGAGAGAGAGAGAGATATAGAAAGAGAGACACAAATACAAAAGAGATAGAAAGAAACATACGGAAGTAAACAAACATATTTAAAGCGAGAGAGAGAGAGAGAGAGAAAAAAAAAAAAAAAAAAAAAAGGAAGAGAGAGGAGGAAGAGGAGGAGGAGGAGAGGAGAAGGAGAAGAGAACGACAGGATTCATTAAGCATTGCTTGTTTCGCTTGAGACATCATTGCAGACTTGCTCGTTTCGCTTGAGACATCCTTGAAGAAGGAAATAACCTCGATGGCGAACTTTTCTGGTGATCATGAAGTTCGGCCTCCGCGCCCCCGCGCCCCCGACCAAACTCTTATTGGCCGTGGATAATCAACTCTTATGTGTATAGGGGGGGGGTACATTATTATCGTGGGTATGCGGTTATGTTTGGATTATGTGTGGGATATTTTTTTCCGTCGAAAATCCCCCCGTAGGGGGACAGGCCCGACTTAGGGGTACGGTCGGGCCGACGTGGGAGGTCGGCGTCGGTTCGGGGAGGTTGCCCCAAGGTTCTGCGTGCTTGGTGGGTGCTCTTTGTGCATCCTGGGGAGGGTACACTTGGATACTCTGTGTGTTTTGGTCGGCGGAGAGTCTCGTCTTCTTGAGGGGTGTCCTTGTAGCCTGGGCCCGACTGTCGGGCGAGGCGGGGAGGGCTTCTTAGAAGTACCCCCCGCGTCGACGCTTCTCCCGTCGATCATGAGAGCACAGTTTGATTCAGGTTCTAAGCGCATGGTTGAATTCATCGGAGTCCTTTGCGCGATGATCTTGTGAAAACGGCGCGGCCTTGTCTGTAGATCCAGGGCTGGCGCCTCCTAAGAAGCAGCCTCCTTCTAGGAAGCCTCCCCCCCTCTCCCTGACCCCCTGGTGCGCGCCGCCAACTCCGGCCCAAGGTGCCCCCAGTCCTCAGGAGGGCTCCCAAGAAAGTATGGAAACATATGGGAAGTGGGGGGGGAAGACAAAAACACAGAACATCTGAAACATATGGGGAATCCGGTTATTTGTGTCTATTTATTTGTGTGCCCCAGGGCCCCTTCAGTTCCAGTCGGGAGCCCCTGAGGCCATTTGTTCTAGCGAGGGGTGCTCTGGAGACCGTGGGTCTCCCTGGAAATCATGGGGGCATCTCGGGCCAGGGGCAGTTCTGGCCACACCCGAGGACGGGGATCGGAAGATCGCGCCGCACCGGCATCCCGTGAGATCCAGGCCCAGAACCCATTAGGTCATTGAATCATCATGGCGGGAGGTTCTCTATTGTTTCTGGTATCCAGGGGCGTTCGCCTGCTTCGGAACCGTCTAACAACAAGTCAGGATGAGAAACTGGCCCAGGGAATGGGTCCAGACCTCTGGGGGTCGACGTCATAAAAAATCATGACGTCTGGGGTCGGAGGATCGCGCCGCACCAGCATCCCGTAATATCTCGGAGGCTACCAAGGGGGAGGTGATGATTCCATAGGGGGGGGAACATGGCCGGGGCCATGATCTCTCCCCAGGTTCATGGCCCGTCTTCTTGTTTCAATGTGGTTCTTGGCCGCCCCCTGGGCCGCGCACATGCCTCGGGCCATGATTTACGAATCCCCTTATTGGACGTCCCCGAGAGATCCGGGCGTTGTTGTTTTTCGTGACGGGCGTTTTCGCTGGTCGAGCCCCGGGACCCTCCTGGATCGATTCGGCTCGAAGAGTGCCGCAGAAAGTTGGGGTCTAGGGTTTTGGTAGCGGTTTTTTCCCACATCCAAAGTGGGGTTCTTGTTTTCTCTGAACACCCTCCGCGCAGGAATCTAATTTCCCTCCCACTCTCCGCCTCGCTCACGCATTCACCCCGTCATCGGTCATCAGCACCATCGGTCATCATCATCATCATCATCATCATCATCATCATCATCATCATCATCACAACCACCATCATCCTATTCAGTCAGTCACAATCTATCAACATCACCATCGGCCATCGATCATCATCATCATCATCATCATCATCATCATCATCATCAGCATCAGCATCACCACCACCGCCATCATCATCATACTCAGTCGCACATCACACACATTTCTATCACCACTCAGCATCATTTTCTCTGGGCACCCCGCGCGAGGAGGTCTCAGGCGGGAGCCTACTCCTTGTGGGGCCCGAATGTTATGGTTTCAATCCGAGCGGGTCATCTTCAAACTTGTAATTGTCGTCACAGTTGGGCTCCTGAGGCTTGAATAAGGGGGAACTATCAGGCGGGAGGCTTCTCTGTGGGTGAACTCTGAGGAAGTCTCTGGTGGGAATCCCTTCCTCTATAGGGCCCGCATTTCATGTTTGTAATCCGAGCGGGTCATCCTCAAATTTGTAACTGTCGTCATTCTTGGGTTCCTGAGGCTTGAATGTGGGGGAAGTATCAAGCGGGAGCCTCGTCTGTGAGTAAACTGTGAAGACGTCTCAAGCGGAAGCCCCCCCCAATGGGGCCCGCATTTTATGTTTTTGAGGAAGTTTCATGCGGGAACCCCTCTCTATGGGGCTTGCATTTCATGTGTCCAGTCCGAGCGGGTCATCCTCCAAACTTGTAACCGTC